TAGAGCAGGAAGAGTTAGCAAAAGAGATTGAGTAGGATAAGAAAAACCAGAAACCAAGAATGTATTTCAAGAAAGAGAGAGTAGTCAACTGATTGATGCCTGTCCTTTGCTCCAGAGAGAGACATTATTTTTGTGATAGTGGACAGTAAGCATTCCTGCTTTGCTCCAAAGGAAGATACTATCTCTGTCTTCCAAGGCTATTCACTCTACAAATATCCTTGATAAGATAACCTGAATCAAAACAAATGTGAGAGACACATGGAGAACTATCTCTCAAAAGAGAGTTTAGCCTTATTAGAATGGACACTTCATTCATTTTAGACATGGAGGTTGTGAAAATGGTGAAGATAAGATTATTGGAAAAGATGCTGGTACCTATATTTTGCTTAATTTTATTTTTTTCCCCAGTATATCAGTGGGTGAGAATATCAGGTAAGAGTGAGGATTGGGCATTGAGAGTGGGATTTAAAAAAACTTTTATGTTAAAAAAATTTTTTATGTTTATTTATTTTTGAAAGAGAGAGAGCACATGCACACGTATGAACGAGCATGAGTGGAGGAAGGCCAGAGAGAAAGGGAGACACAGAATCAGAAGCAGGCTCCAGGCTCAGAGCTGTCAGCACAGAGCCCCACACAGGGCTCAAACTCAGAACCGGGAGATCATGACCTGAGCAGAAATGGGATGTTTAGCCAACTGAGCCACCCAGGCACGCCAAGAGTGTGGGATTTAAATAAAGTCTGGAAGAATGAGAGTGGGTTGACTAAGGAAATGAGGAATTACTGGGCACTGCTGAGGGTCCTCCTCTAATTTATAATCATAGGCTTAAACAGTCAGCACAAGCTGTGACTGTTTTAATCAGGTTTGTTCCACTGCTTGGGTGTAGGGACAAGATAGGTAGAGAGTTGGCGTTAACCAGAATTGGCATTTTTCCAGGCAAGTGATAAAGTGGCAATGGAATTGTGAATGTACACAACAGACTGATTGCAGTGATAGACCTGGGATTCTAGGCTAGATGAAGAAGAGAGTGAGGAGAGAAAGGACAGTTGAAACACTGTCACATCAGAGCTCCTGATGGGGTTGAAGAATTGTTGGAGTCAGGGTATTATAATAAGTGAACTGGAAGACAAGAGGCAGTAGTCAAACAATAGGATGTTTAAAAATCAAGACTTAGAATTACAGTACACAAGCATGAGAATGGATAGCTGAGGTAGGGTGGAGAAATATCTCACTGGACGTGAAGAGTTCAGTAACCTAAGTGGTCAGAGTGTTATATAGTTCATTTATGAGCTTATTGAAGTCACCAAGAAAAACTGGAGTCACCTGGAAAGAAAGTGAGCCAGATACTAAAATTTTCAATGAATGAAGGGAAGTAACTGGAAAGTTACAGCTGATTATGACAGGGAGGAGTAGCAACTACTATGGACTGAGAGCAGACTATTCTTTTTCAGTGTTTTTAAATTTATTTTTGAGAGAAAGTGTGAGTGGGGGAGGGGCAGCAAGAGAGGGGGACAGAGAATCCAAAGCGGGCTTTGCACTGAGAGCATTGAGCCTGATGCAAGGCTGGAACTTATGAACCAATCCGTGAGACCTTGACCTTAACTGACTGAGCCACCCAGTTGCCCCCTTTCATTTAATAGATATTTATCTATATAACCAAGTAAGCACTGTGGGAAAAACAAATTATCACTATCCTCAAGAATTGTATGAACTAACCTGAAGATAATATAGACACCCAGGGAAAGCTAAACAACAGCAAACATTGCAGTAAGGGCAGGCCAAAAAACACTGGTCTAAGCGTCAGAAGATCTGAATTCTAGTTCCAGTCATGCTAATAATTAGCTGTGAGCTTAGGTAAATCACTTGCCCTCACCAAGCTTCAGTTTCCAAATTTGGATATGGATTAGATGATTCCCAAGATACCTGAGGCCTAACATTTCATAGTTCTATAAATATAAAATAATGCTTATTTCACAGGGAAGTTAGGAAGAAAAAGCACTGTTATCCAGATGTTACAGAAAGAGGAAATTGAACCGTGAAGGACTATATAATTTGTCCAGCATAAGACTGTCAAATCAGGTTCATTGTTGTTTGTGTTAGATCTTACAGGGTGCAGAGTAGATCCCCTAATCTGTGTTTGTTTCTCTTCACTTAACACAAAGTTGTGTTTGTCTTTCCATTATCTCTATTTGTTACTGACTAGGTCATGATTGCATATGTCAAAGAAGAAAGAAAGTACTATCAGAAACCATAGCTGGAGCACCAATGTTTAACACAGCCCTAAAAGAACACATTTTCTACAGGAAGCAAAGAGGTGTGTTGCCCTCGAGGAAATGCATGCCCCTCTGGAGTAATTAGGCTGACATGCATTTCCCTGGTGGCAAGTGTAATGAAGGGGTCCAATAACTCTTGACATCAGCATAATGTTGGGGTGGAATTGGAAGTTAAGATTTAGAAGGATAGAACTGGAATAAAGGGGATATAAACAGTTTTTCTTCTATAACAGATTCTTCCTTTATAACTAAAATGTTACTTCATAATTTTTTATATATGCAAGCACATTCAGTCATACAGCTAACAAATATGCATTGAGATCCAACTCTATGGAGTTGAGCTGGAAATATCGTGGAGAGTAAGACAGCTACAGGCTCTGTCCTATATCCCTTTGCCAATGTATACTGAATGGAGTGGGGGATGGACATAAGTAGGAAGATAATTAAGATATCTTTCAGAGTATGATCAATACTCTGGAAAATATAACAACAACATATCCCTTACCATGTAGCGATACATCCCTTACCGTGTTCTGCATGTTCTCCATTTAGAATGTGAGTATCACAAGAGCTAGGACTTTGTTATGTTATTCATCACTGTGCCCTCTGTGCCTTGATTAGTGAATTTTAACTTTGGGATTCTTTCAGTAAGGTTGTCAGAAGAGGTGTCTCTAAGGAGGCACCATCGGAACGGAGACCTAAAAAAAAAGAACAGTTTGCAGTCATGCAAAGAGGGGCAGGGAAAGAACAATGTAAAGTTCCCAAGAAAGCCACAATTTCAGCATGTTTTGGAAACGAAGAAGGCCGTCATGGCTGGAGAGCTGTAAGGGTGGAAAAGTGTAACATAAGGTGAGGCTGAAGCAAGAGTCAGGGCTAGAATAATATTGGGCCTTGTAAGCCAAGGCTAGGAGGTTGGATTTTAATTTAATTGCTGTGGTAGGCCCTTGGAGTATTTTAGTGAGGGATATTGTATGACCTTTTATTTTTAAAAGTTTGCTCTGGCATCTGTGCAGGTAATAGACTGAGGAAAGTATGAGGGGAGCCAAGAGATGGGTTAGGTTGTGAGAGGTGATGGTGGTTTGGTGCAGGGCAAGAAGTGTTGAATAGTTGAATTTGAGATCCATTCTGAAGGAAGAACAATCACCAGGACAAGCTAATTACTTGGATGTGGTGTGTTAGAAAAAGAGAGGAATCAAGAAAGATTCCAGTGTTTTGGCTTGAATAACTTGGTGCTGGCGGTGCCACTAACTGATAGGGAAACTGGAGGAGGAGCAGAGTTTTTCCAGGGAAAATCAAGAATTCCATTTTGACCATGTGAAGCTTATTAGACTTCCAAATGAGTATGTAGATTAAATGGTTGATATGTGAGTATGGCAAGATGTCAGAGCTGAAGATATCCTTTTGTGAGTCATTGGCATTTTGATACTATGTAAAGCCATGTAGCTGAGTGAGATCACCAAGGGAGAGCATATAGACATGACAGCCAAGGACTAGGCCTTGAACATCTGTCATAGAATTCCCAATTTTGGCCTTTGGATAATATGATATTTTATGTATAACTGCATTACCTACCAGATCAATCAGTTTTAAAACCCCATTTTGGGGGCATTTGGGTGGCTCAGTCAGTTATGTGCCCACCTCTTGGTTTTAGCTCTGGTCATGATTTCATGGTTCATGAGTTCAAGCCCCACACCAGGCTCTGTGCTGACAGTGTGGAGTCTGCTTGGGATTCGCTCTCTCTCTCTCTCTCTCTCTCTCTCTTTTAAAATAAATAAGATTTTTAAAACTCCATTTTGCCTTTCTCTTTCTCTCAGCAAGTAGTAGGAGGCCATCTTGGAGGGAAGCCATCTTGGTGAGAGCCTTTAATCACACAGCAACCCCTGGGACTTGCCAGTATGTCATCAGATGCACAGAAGGCGGCTCTGGTCCCCACAATACCTCTCTCCCATATTGCAGTGTTTCCTGAGTTCCCCAGGCCACAATGATCCCTCCTTTCCTCTATTTTCCTTTAAACCTCTCATTTCCTCAGAATTGTACCTCTGCAGTCAGTCCTGCTAGTGTTGTAGCTATTATGCAGAGCAGATACTCTATCTGTGTTTGCACCCCTCCACTTATATAAAATTGTATTTGTCTTTCCATTATCTCTATTTAGTTCTAGCTAGGTCACGATTGCTTATCATCCCCAGTTTCAACTGTACATTGTAACTTTTTTGAAGGCAGGATATTCTCATATATCTTTCTATCCCTTACTGTGTTCTGCATTTCCCCATTTAGAAAGTAAGTACTACAGGAGCTAAGACTTTGTCTGTTGTTTTCACCACTTTGAACTCTTTGAGCTTGGAACAATGTTCTTGAAAAAAAAATAGATGAATATGATAGCTATTGATAGATTTATGTTCCAGATAGGTGATCAGGTACCATGCCTCAAAGCAAGACTTTCTCCCTTTTCCCTGATAGATGTTATCTCTCCTTTGGGTCCCCTTGAGCTTTACCATTCCCCACACTTTACCATTCCCCACACAGTGCAGCATGAAAAGGTGTTTCACTTCTCACCACCTTTATGGACTCTTTCCAGATTCTGCTGGTGCTGAAGGAGATAAGAATAGGACATGAGTTTTTGGTTTATATCATGCATATGCAGTGGGAAGTTCTGTGGTGGATTGCCTGAAAGATAGCCATTAACAATTGCTTTCATCTCTGTATATGCATGTTGTTCTTCTTCCTAACAGGAGATAGGATCTATTTTCCTTCCCTGTGACTCTGGAAGGCCATGAGACTTGTTTTGCCTTGTGGAATGCAGAAGTAATGGTCATACGAATCCAGGCCTACTTCTTAAGAGGACTTGCAGTTTCATGTTTTACTGTCATGCTTAAGAAGATTGGAATTCTGGATAATTTGAGACCACATCGAAAGAGAGAAGCCCAGGCAGTGTCCAGCCATCCCAGCCATAAAGCTGGGGCATGAAATGTGTGAATAAAATCTTGTGGGTTCTCCAGCTCCAGCCAGGCTGTCCCAGTGAACTGAACAGAGCAGAGAAACCATCCCTGAGGAGCCCCACCCAAACTGCACAATCAGAAGAAATAATAAACGGTGTTGTTTTAAGTCACTACTTGTGGGGGGTATTTGTTATATAGCAATAGATAACTAAAATAGGATCTGTTCCAGGATCCATTTCATAACAAAACTTCTAGAAGCGCATTGCATTTACAAGCAGAACTTCTGGGGACTCCTAGGAGGCTCAGTCAGTTAAGCATCCGACTTCAGCTCAGGTAATGATCTCATGGTTCGTGAGTTAGAGCCCCATGTCAGGCTCTGTGCTGACAGCTCAGAGCCCAGAGACTGCCTCAGATTCTGTGTGTCCCTCTCTTTCTCTGCCCCTCCCCCACTCACGCTCTGTCTCTCTCTCTCTCTCTCTCCTTCAAAAATAAATAAACATTAAAATTTAAAAAAATTAAAGCACAGAGTTTCTGCAATTTCTAGCAAAATCACAAGTGCAATTATCCTTTGTCTCAGCAGTTTCCCTTCTAGGAATCGATTCCAGAAATACTCTGGCAAAAATACAAATAGAAGTACTGGCGTTCATTGCAGCATCATGTGTAGTAGCAGCAAACTTCAAACAGTTCAATTGTTTATCAGTAGAGGACTGGTTGAAAACGCAATGTAGCATCCACGTGGTGGAGTAATATGCAGCTATAAAAAAGAAACGAGGTATTCTTCTGTAAATTGTGGTGGAGTGATCACCAGGATAAAATGTTGAGTGAAAAAAGTAAGGTAGAGAAAAAGTGTGTATGGTATGCTACATTTTTACTATTTTTTTAATGAAAGGATAAAGTGTAAAACTTTCAAAAGAAATTATTACTTATAGAGGGACAGAATGAATAGGGTAAATGGTACAACAGGAATTTAGTCTGCAAACTCCAGACTGTGGGAAACTTTATAGAACAACCAATCCAGTTTCTTCAGCAAATAATTAAAAAAGAAAACAAAAACAAAAAAACACAAAAGTGGGGTCCATGGGTGGCTCAGTTGATTAAGCATTTGATTCTTGATTTCAAGTCAGGTCATGATCTCATGGTTTGTGAGTTTGAGCCCTGTGTTGGACTCTACACTGGCAGCACAAAGCCTACTTGGGATTCTGTCTCCCTCTCTCTCTGCCCCTCCCCTGCTTGCTCTCTATCTCTCTCTCAAAATAAAATAAAAGTAATAATTAAAAAAAAATTAAAAACCCAAAAGGGAAAGATTGAGAACCCAATGATTAAGAAGAGGGACTTGGAGCACTTGGGTGTCTCAGCCGGTTGGGCTACCAACTTTGGCTCAGGTCATGATCTCATGGTTCATGGAGTCAAGCCTTACATCCATCAGGTTCTGTGCTGACAGCTCAGAGCCTGGAGCCTGCTTCTGATTCTGTGTGTCTCTCTCTACCCCCCCCCCCCACTCACTTGCATTCTCTCTCTCTCTCTCTCTCTCAGAAATAAACATTTAAAAAAATTTTAAGGAGGGATTTAAGTGCATAACAATCAATGGCAATTTATAAACCTATTTGTATTCTGAATACAAGAATACAGCTTGAATACAAGTTGTTTGAATAAACAAACCAAAAACGTTTATGAGACAATGGGAAAATTTAAACACTGGTTGAAATATTTGATGATGTTAAGGATTTATTATTCAGGTGTGATAATGACAGTGTGGTTATATTCTTAAAACAGTCTTCAGATATTAGTGATACACACTGAAACTTTTTATGTATGAGCTGATATACTCTGGGGGTTGCTTCATGAGAAATACATATATTACTGAAGTGAGTGAAATTATAGATTAAACAAGATTGGCCAAGAGTTGATCATTATTGAAGCTAGATGATTGGTTCATGAAAGTTCATCATATTGTCCTCTTTACCTTCATATTTGAAATTTTTCAAAATAAAAAGTTAAAAAAAAGAAGGCCTTTGTGACTCAGTGTTTTTGCTTTTTTGTTTTCATTTTTTTAACATTTATTCATTTTTGAGAGACAGAGATAGAGCATGAGTGGAGGGAGGGGCAGAGAGAGGTAGACACAGAATCTAAAACAGACTCCAGTCTCTGAGCTGTCAGACAGAGCCCGACACAGTGCTTAAGCCCACAAACCACGAGATCATGACCTGAGCCAAAGTCAGAGGCTTAACTGACTGAGCTACCCAAGCACTCCTGAGACCCAGTGTTTTAAGGGCACCGAATCCATTTTCTTCATAATAACATACCTTACGCCCGTCTCTCCAAGTAACAGCATCTGTATCAAATGGGAGTTGTGTCTGTAAAACCATGATAGGTATTTAGAACTGTGTGTGATTGACACCATGTGTGATATTAAGGTTATAATGAGTTCTCAGGAGGTCCAAGTGTTTGTTGTTTTGGTTTTGTTTTTTAACAATTTCTGGTGTCATTGTTTTCAGAGATAACAATGGGAAGGGATCTCTGATATCTGGGAGGTTTTAGCTAACATGTAAATAGCCCCCTTCCTGTTTTCCAAACATGTATCATTCATTCACTCAATCATTCACTACTCTTTGGCCAAGAGAGTTCTATGAGAGGTCCTGGTGTTAGGGAGACGGTGCTGCCAGCCAAAAGAAGTCTCCAGTCCTACTTCACATCACTACCAACTTCACTATCGACTATCAACACACATGCCCAGGTGCTTACAACAACAGGGAACAATAGAGGGCTGTACGAAAGGTCTATGAAAGACAGAGGCCCAGTTGCTTTGCCTCTAGCAGGAGATTGGTGGAGAAATCGTGGAAGAGGAGGTGTTAGAGCATGCTAACATGCTGGTTCAGGGGAAGGAGTAACAACAGAATTGGGTTTGACTTATTTTGGAGGGTAAATATAACCTGATGCTTTTCACTTCCTCAAATTCTTTCACTTTTAAATACCCAAAGCCTTTCATCTCCTTCCTCCACTGAAATGAAAGGTATATACCGGTGGTTCTCAAACTGTGGTTCCTGGGCCAGCAGCGCCTCCATCTCCTGGGAACTTCTAGCAATGCAAGTGCTCAAGCCCCACCTCAGGCCTGCTGAATCTGAAACTCTGGAGCTGGACCAGTAGTTTAACAACCCCTCCAGGTGATGCTGATGCTCTCTCAAGTATGAGAACCACTGGTTTAGAGAAAACCAGTAATGGTGCCATAAGTGCAGTTTAGAGAAGGAAAAGGAGCCTGCTCTTTTCTCCAAGTTAAAAAAAATTATGATCATAGGAGAAACTTTGAAAGAATCTAAGATAGAAAAATAGTTCAGCTTTGCTGAGGGCTCGGCAGAGCTGTGGTTGGGGGAGACCAGTGTTCCACAAAAAACCCACAAATGCCAGGCTGGGCAGGTGCTGTCTACCACCCAGCAGTAAGTGAAGACTAGAGAGATCTAAGGCTTGGGCGGCCAGGCCCTCCATCTCCTCTGAGATACCAGTCCGTGGCCAGAGATACACCAATAGTTAAATATAGAGATTATCCTCTGAAAGAGAGGTATATGGGTATATGGGTAATAAAACTGGTCGAATTTTTGTAAAAGGTGTTAATTTCTCTTCACTTTTTTATATGGCTGCTAGAAATTTTAAAATAACCCATGTAGTTCACATTTATGGCATGCATTATATTTCTATTGGTCAGCACTGTTCTATCATGTGTATATAAAACGGAGGATAGATAGGAGACAAAATGTGACCATTTCTTCTCCAGCTCTGAGCATGAGAGTGGGTGTCCAGAACCACAAACCATCGTTTCTTATTTAGGTCTTATTTGTGTTCATACCATGAAGATGCCTCAGTGATACAAGCCATACAAATTATGCAGAAAACATCTTTTATATCCTTGCTCACAAAGCAGTTTTTCAATCTAGAAAATAGACCTTCCTATCAAGAATCCAGCATGCATTCATTGCTTAAAAGCTAGAACATATAACAATATATACCAACAATAGCCACTCCCACTTTCCCCATCTTGACTGCCTCAGACATAGTTAATTAACCAGGACATTTTTTTCCTACTGACCCCAGACACAGTATCAATGTCCTTATCACCAGAATGCTATGGGTAGCTACTGAGAACTACTGCCATGGTCTGCAAAACTAGGTCTGCCTGACTCCAAGGTCAAGTTCCTTCATTATACCATTCAAGTTCCCATTAATAACAGGTGCACATTCATAGTTTCATTCCTAAATGAAGTCAATAAACTTTCTGATTTATGTATCAGTTTATTATGAATTTGGCTGGCACAAGTCCATCCCTGAGATATCAAATACATTTTCATCTGCTGCCAAACTTGGATATCTGACCTTACAAAGAGGTGGCCTCTAGATTAGGAATGGCCTGTACAGAGCAGATGTCCTCACTCTCCTCTCCCTTAACTGTGACAGACACTGTTAATAAATTGCAATACTTTTTTCTGTTGAGCCTAGACATCATCTCAAAGTCCTTTCTAACACAATGATCCAGGAAGGTACTGTCACTCGACCCGTAAGATTCTCTTGATTGCTAGCCTGGATGGATAATGACTTCACAAAACAAATTTCCTTTGTGTACAGCTGGCTTTCCTCAGGTAAAAACTTGACTTCACTCCCTTTACTTTTTCCCAGAAGAGTAGATTCTAAGACCAAAACAATTCCTTGTGGTGCACAAGGGGGCCCTGGGGAAGAACAATGGCATTTTAGAAAGTCAGTACTCGACATCCATTTTAGGAAGGGAGAATTCATATAACACGCTTTTTTCCTTGTCCAGAGGCAGGCTCCCAAGGTTTGTAGACAGTCTCTTCAAGTTCTACTAGTATAACTGGTTTAGAACTCACCAGGACGTTTTTGTATGGGATTTACAATAATAGTAATAATACTTCCTATATCATGATTATTCGGGTTGCAAATAATACATATATTTCTATAAAGAGAATGTTGGCATTGCAGCTATTCAAGAAACATAGGTACGCAGCCAGAAGGCAAATTTTTCATCAGTGAGTGGTGTGGCAAAAAAGGGGATGTCTCAGAGGAAGTGACATGGACAAAATGTTCATATTAAAGGAACTCTAAAGGTATTTCACTGTAAGCGTAAAGGAGAAAATGTTGGAAGCTAATCTAAACTTAAAATGGATAT